GCACTATGGGGGCCACGCTGGCCTCGATAAAGCAGAAGATGCTGCCAAGCATGGTGAGGCCCAGGTAAAGATGTGGTGATGTTATTATGATGTCCCACCAGCTCTGATGGAGCCCAACCACCCTCCTATAGTATATAGTGATTCGTAAGGATCACAGGTACACAGACCTCACTGATGATGAACTACCTCCGTGAGAGTCCCTAGGATACGATACTATCACCAGAGCTATGCCATTTAGAATGAAAAAACATCTTTCCTCATTTGGGAAATTGATACTGATATACCATAAGGTGGCCAACAGCTATAGCACCAATAGAGAACACAGTCATGAAATGCCTCAGGTTACATTATTCCTTACACATACAAAGGTGATTGCAAATTTAACTTATGTATACTGAGTCTCACCAATTTCTCCATCTTGACCAGGCTTAGGAATGCTGATAGAAGTTTTGGTCTCCATTTCTAATTTCTTCTTAGTGTCACCTCTCTTTCCAACTATATGCCTATAATATAAAGAAAAATTAACAAATAGAAGAGGCTAAAGTAAAAATGTACCAAAATAAAGAATCCCTACATTTTTTTTTCTTTTTTTCTTTTTCTGGAGGTTTTTGCTATAGGGCACGTGCGCTCACCAGGAAGACGGAGAGAGACAGACAGAAAGCGAGAAATCACCCCCCGGGAGAAGATGGCAACACTGCAATCCCTTCTCCTCCATTCTCCTCTCAGGATCTTGAGCACCCATGCACACGTGCCCAGCGTGAGTTTAAGCCAACAAGTCCAGGGCTCAAACCGTGGTCGACTATGTCCAGCGACATAGCCATTACGCCAACTGCTGGTGTCCCGCCTACATGCTTTTTTCAAAAATTTTTTAGAATTATTTAATTTTCTTATTATTTTTAATTTGACCAGAGACAGAGAAGGAGAGAAAGCAAGAAAGCAAGCTGAAAGGTCCAGGACTCAAACTGCAGTTGGCCACAAGGGAGTCCAGCACCTTAATCATCAAGCCTCCTGCTGGCCCCAAGAATCCCCACATGTTTAAATCTTCTGGGGCCAGAGGTATTTCCTTACAGAAAGGTACTTCAGTAAAAGCTTAATATTTGTAGAAGAAATTACAAGTCACCTAGCTTTACAGAACAAACTATCTTCACTCATTGGCAAAACAATGCCCTATAAACAATTCATTGTATAAAGAGAATAATCATGTCCAACACTTGCTTGCTTCTCAAAATTAAACTCAAAATTCAGGTATGCAGTTCAGTGAAAAGAAAAATTAGCATAGTCTTAAAGGGTGCTTTAGTAATCAATGGGTCTATAATTTGAAGGATTGTCCATTTTGGAGAACAAATTAACTCTATTATGTATTCATTCTAAGGGAATTGTCCTTATTTAATTAAGTAAGGGTAAACAGCTTGGCAAAGAGTAAGGTTCACCATTTAGGACAGATTCAAAAGCACAGTGAAGGGACTAGATGGTAGAGCAGTGGTAAAACATGACACTTTTCAAGGCTGACCCACACAGGAAGGTTCTGGTTTGTGTCCAGAAATCTCCCTGAGCACATTGGTCATGTATGTGCCTGTGATCTAGGGCTGAATGAAGGTGGAAGTGGATCAAAGCATCAAGACCCCGTTGAGGAGCCAGTAGGTGGTAGGGAGGCTTTGGCAGCTAGATCCCACATGGCCAATTGTGTAGTTTGAGTCCTAGACCCAGTGGCTGGAAAACACGCTGAGTGTGTGTGCGTGCATTCCCAACATCCCAAGAGGAGGATGGAGGAGAAAGAATTATGGTGTAACCATAATCCATAGGGGGTGATTTCTCTTTCTCTCTCTCTCAGTCCAACAAGTACACATACCATATAGCAAAACTGGGAAGAGGGGAGAAAAAAAAAAAGACCCTGTTGAGAACACTATTTATCTCACTCATGGAAAAAAAAATTAATTAAGGGACCAGCAGATGGCATAATGATTATTTTGCTGGACTCCCATGTAGTAGCTGACCAGGGTTTGGGTCCCAGACTAATGGCTTAAAACTCATTCCAGGTACATGTACATATGTGCCCAAAATACTAAAACAAAAATGGAGGAGAAGGGATTACAGTGTGGTCGTCCCCCTGGGTGGGGGGGTGGGGGGGTGATTTCTCACTTTCTCGCTCTCTCTGTCTCTGTCTCTGTCTCTTCAGCAAGCCCACACACCCTGTAGCAAAAATCTCTCTTCAAAAAAAAAAAAATTAACTAACTATAACACTTTTACAAAGAACCTCCGAGACCAGCAGGTGGAGTGCTGATCAGGGCAACAAATTCCTACATAGCTGACCACAGTTCGTGTCCTGGACCCAGCAGCCTGAAAATCACACTGGGCATATACGACGAGGAGAATGAAGGATAAGGGATTGAGGCATGGCCATAACCCCTGGAGCTGATTTCTCACTTTCTTACTCTGTCTCTCTCTGGCAGCAAACATGCCCCATGGCAAAAACCTAAAAGAAAAGAATGAATCACAGTGGATAAGCAAATAGCCTTCAGACTGAATTTCCCACACAGACAAGCTTACATTGGGAGCTTTCACCTAAAAATATGTATTTGCAAGTGCTTCAGAAAAAATTACAAGATGTGACAACTCATGGGAACAATAGGCTGGAGACAGCTCTTGACTAACCCATGAAGATGGAATGTGAGTGCCTCACAGCCCCATCACTCCCCACTGTCTTTCATCTACCCCACCTCAATCATTTACTAACTTATTTACATTACTTGCCCAGACCTCCTAGAGTCAGGCTTGGACAGACCTAATTCACCTGCTACAACACAGGAAAACAATTCATGGACTTCCTAAACCAGCCTATCTTCAGAGGCATATGCGTGCAAGAATTCAGTTAACCACAGAAACTGACATTATTCTATTTGTGGTTAATATGGGACAAAAAGTGGGCAAAAACTTGGACAAGCACACATAGACTGAAGTGATCACAAAGTTTCCAAACAATTTATAAAGATGGCCCTGGAAAACATATAGTAGTTTTTGGTAAACATTAATGGAACAGATACATTCCTACCTTCAACAAGCTTTCTATTAGCACAGAAGCCATCAAATACTGGGCCATCGTGAAGTATTTTTGCATAGAAAAATACATTAAAATGCGTCATGACTTTCCTGGTGACCTAATAGCACATAAACATATCTAAACACAGACTGTGATAAATGAAACAAAGAAAAAGTATAGTGTTATAAAAACAATAAGATGATCAAAATGGTCAGTAAGGATTACAGAGTCAAAGCAAGTTTCCCTAAGGAAGAAGAATATAACTACGAAAGGAAGAAGAGATTCTAAGGCAAAAGAAACAGCATATGCAAAAGCTCTATTGCAGGAAAGCATATAGCATCTTTGAGGAACAAAAGAAAGCCAGTTAGGTATAATTGCAAAACTAGCAAAAGAACAATCCTAGTTGAGACAGAAAAACATGGAGCCAGCTACGTCCAAGATTTTGCTCACTACTATAATAAAACAGAATTCGCAGGAGAAAACCCTTGATGGGTTTTAGGCAAAGAGAAAATAATCATTTACCGTTTTTTGTTTGGTTGGTTTTTTACTTTTTTACTATAGGGCAAGAGGGAACGTGAGAAATCACCCCCCCTCCCCCCGGGTGATAGCCATGCCACAATCCCTTCTCCATTCTCCATTCTCCTCTTGAGATTTTGGGTAGGCACATGCACACACACACAAAGTGATTTTCAAGCTACCAGGTCCAGGACTCAAACTGCAGTCAGCTTTATGGGAATTTAGCCACCCTTACCTTTTAAAAAAATCATTCTACCCACTGTGAAGAACTGATAAGAAAACAAGAATCAACATGGAGGGATTAGTAAGTAAGCTATTTTAAGTTATCCACAGATAACTTAAGTAAGCAAAGGAGTTGCAGTAAGATAGGTAAGTGGTAGATTCAAGAGGCAAAATTACCAGGATTTGGTGATACATGTGGAATGATGAAATTAATCTGTCCTTTGAAATATCAGGCACAAAGCATTTTTTCCATCAGTAATCAAACATCACAGTGTGGAAGAGTCAGCGTCCTGCCAAGTTTCATGGAAGTGCCTCACGCTGAGTTTCCTGGAAGTGCCTCCCCATGAAGCTGCTGAGGACCTCACTTACTTGTAAAGCAGGCTGGGGGCCCTGACGATAGACCGGAATCCTTGCGGGGTCTGCTCCACCTCATAGGCATCGCAGGGCTCATCAGCACACTCCATGGCATCTGCACAGAAACCACACATCTTGCTCAGAAAAGCTGCTGCTCTGTGAACAAGTCTGCTCTCTAGCTGTCAACCATTCTCAGGGTTTAAAAAAGCAATACATGGCACAAATAACAGGCTGACACTTCACACTGCAGAATACTGATCTGATGCTCTTTGTCACCTGCTCTTAAAAGAAATTAAGCATGTGGGGCCAGTAGATGGCGTGATAGTTAAGGTGGTTGGACTCCCTGGACCTGTTGGCCTGAAAATCAGGCCAGGCACATGTGCATGAGTACCCAAAATCTCAAGAGGAGACTAGAGAAAGGACCATGGTGTGGCATCCTCCCTGGGGGACAATTCACTAACAATTCACTTTCCCTCTCTCTGTCTCTCTCTCTCCCCAGTGAGTGCATGTATCCTATGGCAAAAACCTTACAAAAAAAAAAAAAAGAAAGAAAGAAAGAAAAAGAAATCAAGCCTAAAAAAACCATAAAGCCTATTTTAAATCTTCGTATCTTAGAATCTTGGAAAAGTAGGATATACATTACAGTAGTTAACTTTTCTGTTGGAAAACTAAGTCATGGGGCTGGCAGGTGGTATGGTGGTTAAGGGCACTGGACTCCCACATGGCCAACCATGGTTTGTGTCCCGGACCTGCCGGCTTGCTTTCTCACTTTCTCTTACTCTGTCCCTCTCTGGTCAAATTAAAATAAAATGAATAAATAAATAAATAAATAAGTAAAGTTAAATAAAATGATTCTTAAAAAAAAAAAAAAAAAAAAACTAAGTTATGATACGGGTCAGTCAGAGGCATATGGTAACACAATGGTCTGTGAAACTGTATCTACCTGGGAATATTCCAGATTCGTGTCCCAAGGCCTCCCTGTGCCTGCCTGGCACACCCTGAACCTAGGCTGGCTGGAGGTGGACTACAGCATGAAGACTCCACTAGCGTTTCTTACCCCGCTCTCTTTTTCTGTCTCTCTCTCTTTTTCTGTCTCTCTCTCACAGAAGAAAGATAAATACCAAGGCTTAGGGTTCACTGGAAGGGTTTATAAACCTAAAGGTAGAAGTGGCAGAGAACCTGACAGGCCCTCTGCATTAAACACAGGCCCAAGTTAATTAACCTGAAAACATATATAATCCATCTCCACTGTTTCTTTCCTTTTTTGAGGAGGGGTAGGTTTTGCCTTAGGTTATGTGCACTGGTGGGTGGGGGCAGGCCATAGACAGTGAGAGGGAAAGTGAGAAAGCCCCCTCTTGGGGGACAGCCACAGAGCAATCCCTTCTACTCCAGTCTCCTCCTGGGATCTCAGAAATGTGTGCACACACACACACCCAGCATGAGTGAAACCACCGGGTCCAGGGCTTGAACCACATTCAGTTATGTGGGAGTCCAGTCACATAACCACTATGCTATCTGCTAGCCCCATCAACTGTTTATTTTTAAAATTACTCATACATTACAGTAAAGCTAGTTGTGAATTTGGAACTGCCTATATGTACCTACAAGGAAGGAAAGAAAAACAACACAATAATATCAGCTAATGTTATTGGCCATTGGACTAAATACACTCATTTATTTCAATAATTTATATAAATTACAACTTTACAGATAAAGCAACTTAATTTATCATAGAATATCAATGGTTATTATTATTTTTCTAAAGAATGATTCATTATTTTTAATCTGCCATAGGGCATGTGTACTCACCAGAGGGGGAGAAAGAGAAAGAGAGAGAGAGAGAGAAAGTGAGAAAGTCACCAGGTCAGAGACTCGAACTACAGTCATCTGTGTGGGAGTTCAGCACCTTAACTACCACATCATCTGCTGGCCCAATGGTTATTAGAGCTAACCAAAATTACCTGTTTTGGGGCCAGCAGGTAGCATGGTAGTTAAGTGTGCTGGACTCCCACATGGCAACCGTGGTTTGAGTCCCAGACCTGATGGCTTTCTTTCTCACTTTCTCTCTCTCTCATTCCCTCGCTCTTTCTTTCTTTCACTCTGTCCCTCTCTGGTCAAATTAAATATAACAAATAAATAAATAAAGTTAAATAAAATATTTTTTAAAATAATAAAATAAAATTATCCATTTTGACATTTAAGCCTCTGCACAGCTACTGAATGGGAGAGTTGAACTGATCTCAGAGATTAGAGACTCGCCCCAAGACACAGAGTGAAAAACCACAAAACACGTGTAAAGAGGAAAAGAGAAGTTTTGATAGAAAAGAAATACACTCCCATACCAGAAAGACATGTGGGTGGGAGAAGAACTACCCAGAGCATAGGGTTAGATGTTACTCTTTTTTTTTTTTTTCAAGGTTTTTGCCACAGGATACATGCATTCACCAGAAACAGAGAGCAATATAGAGAGGAAAAGGGAGAAGTCACCCCCAGGAAGGATGGCCATATCATAATCCCTGTTCCTCCATTCTCCTCTTGGGATTTTGGGCACACACACAAATGCATATGGCATAATTTTCTTTCTTTTTTTTTTTCGGAGAGGTTTTTGCTATAGGGTGCATACGCTCGCCAGAAATACAGAAAGCAAGAAATCACCCCCCAGGGAGGATGACCACGCTGCAATCCTTTCTCTTCCATTCTCCTCTCAGGATCTTGGACACATGCGCACACACGCGCCCAGCATGAGTTTAAGCTACTAGGTCCGGGACTCAAACCGCAGTCGACTACATGGGAGTCCAGTGACATAGCCATTACACCAACTACTGGTCCCAGATGGCATGATTTTCATGCAGCTGTGTCTGGGACTCAGACCACAGTCAGCTATATGTGAGTCTAGCACCTTAACTACTACCCCATCTCCTGCCTCTAGGTGTTACGTTTTCTATGAGAGTTGGTAATAAATATTTCACAGGGGAGATCTGTAATAGTAGCCACTTCTTTAGTTAGTTCAGATTTCACGGGTTTTCATCTGTACTTGTGATCCTCTCCTTCAGGTGAGGATTTTGAGAAATTTGATTACCTAATCATGCATACCCAGTGTAGACTTGGAAGGTATGATCATCCACAGATGAATGATCTGCCCTATTAGTTTACTGCCCCAGTGGGAATTACGATGTTGACCCAACATCCCATACCAGCCCCTGCAGCTGGGTAGAAGTAGGGATCTCTCACAGAGGACCTGGTCGTATTCCCTGATAGGCTGTGACTGATGGGATAAATGTGCTTCTGCTATTATCTCAGGGCTGCCTACTAATATCTGGCTGACTACGATCAGAGCACAAAGACGAAACATAACTTGACTTACAGACTGCAAACAAGAACACCTCAGTCAAACTCGAACTTACTGATACTCTTAGACATCAGAAGAAATGGAGTTCTGCAAGGCTAAGCATCTCAGTTTTCAGTTCTGACACAGAAACACATTGAAACAAGACAAAAAATTGCTCCAACCATACACAGAACATTTTATTTCTAATCTGGCCAAAGAGCAAGTAGGATTACCTTGATAGAAGTGCTCATCATCATCTTCGTGTTGGTAAGTCTGTTCTTGGATGGGATTCTTCCTGTAATTCCTACCGTCAATTCTTATAAGCTGTGGGCGCAGAACTTCCATGACACTTTCTCCAAATAATAATCCAGTGAAGTCCTGAAAAATAAATTATCATCTGACTTTTTGTAATCAGAAATAAAAACCAGTATTACATGGATCATTATATAGACCTAAAAGGACAGAGTTGGTCATCCCTTCCCACTACATCCTAAGCAGAAGAAACACTGTTCTCCATTGGATTTCCCATCTGTAAGCTGTTCTAGCTCAATTGCTACCTTTTCCACCACACTATTCCATTCCTGGCTCATTCCAGACAGTAAGGTTAACTTTTTTTTTAATCACTCCAGCAGGTGGTGTGCTAGACTCCCACAAGGCTAACCATGGTTCAAGTCCCAGACTTGGCAGCTTGCTTTCTCACTTTCTCTCACTCTCTCTGGTAAGCACATGTGCCCCATAGCAAATTTAAAATTAGTAAAAATAATAAATTTTAAAAATTAAGACTTTTACGTACGAACTTGCCATGACTTTGTATAGGTACTGCCAAAGTGAGCACACAACCTTGCCATGACTTTGAGAGAATAAAGGTCTCTTTACTATTTACTTCAGCCTAAAGGGAATAAAATGCAAACTGCAGTCTTTAACCATCTGCAAAATGTCTCTGTCTCACCCTTTCTGTTGAGCTTAATAACGAAGACAATGAGGGATATTTAATACATTTATGGGAGGGGAGCTTAAACTCCAAAATACTTTTAGAAGTACTAGAAATGTATACTCAACAATCCAAACTCAGTTGCCTATCAAAGCAGTTAAAATACAAGGTTAAGGCACTGGCTCTGGCAGATACAGGGGAGCCAGTCCCAGACCTGGGTGCTTGAAAAACACAGTTGGGCATGTGTGGGTGAGTGCCCAAAAGCTTAAGAGGAGAGTAGAGGAGATGGGATTGCCATGTAGTCATCGTCTCTGAGAGGTGATCTCTCTCTCTCTCTCTCATGAACATGAGTCCTATAGCAAAAACTAAGAAGAAAATAAAAAGATTTAACCAATTTGGTTCTCAAATCAATCTTATTGCTCGGCGGAGGAATCCAGTTCCTACAGCTACTACTAACGAACTGTGTATCCCTCACTGAGAAGCTAAGCTTCTAGTAATCAGTAATTTAGGAAGCAAAGGTTCCTTATGAGCTGGCTGTGGTTAAGTTTAACTAATGTTCCTACCATGTATACAATAGTTTGGATAGTCTTGAGTCTTGAATCTCAAAATACTTAAGAGTTTCAAGGAAAACAGATCAATCCTTACACTAAAGCCAAGTTCAACCCTCAGCAAGTAAGTCACTTTAACTGATAGTTGTTTTGCTTACAGAACCGAGAAAAGGCTTCTTCTTGTGAAGAGGTAGATCGACCTGGGTGGAGGAAGAAGGCGCCTAACAGTAACAGTTCAAAGATATACCCTACTCCCCTAGGATCTCTCACAAAAAAACTCCTCCATAAAAGTGGGCTTTAAGGCCGGACCCTCAATCCACGAGCTCTAAACAGTAAAGTCAACACCTGCCTTTTTCCTGGGCTTCGAAGCTGCCCATTAGGGAATGGAGTAACCAATTTAGCCCTGTTTCGTGGGGAGTTAGGAAAGGAAGTGAAAAGTACTATTTTTATGCAATATTTTGTGGAAGCTAGAAAGCAGGCAAAAAAACTAACAAGCCAAACCTAGGAAACAGAGGAAACCCAGAAATGAACGCGGCGAAGAACCCGGAAGTCCTCCCCGGAGCAGCGCCCCGGCCACGCCCACCACATAACGGGGGCGCGCGCACGCCGCCGCCGCCGCCGCGCGAGCACCCTCTATGAGGGCGCGAGCACGCCGCCATCCACGACGCTGTGAGCGCGGGTGCTCCGGCCGGCCTTGGGGGCGGGGCTGTAGGAGCCGCTGAGGTAAGTGGCCGAAGGCTCAAGGACCCTCTGCAGCTTGGTGAAAAGGTAGTTGACCTCTGAGATCCTACCTGCAGAGAACTAGGCAAATGGACAAGTGAGGAGCAGAAGCGAGAGGCTGCCGCAGCAGGCGCCTGAAAAGGAATTTCCTCAGGCCGCGGCGGATTGAATGCGCATGCGGGCCAAGGGGTGGCGCCTGCGCAGTGGGTTGCCGCAGACTCTCTTCCTTCGGACCAACCGAGTGGGAAGATGGGCTTGCTGGTAGTTTGGGAGCCTTAGGTGTTTTGACCCCACCGCTCTGCAGCCCCTTTCC